ATGGTACCTGGACGGGACTGTAATGGCTGAGTTGAATCAGAATGTGCGTGATTCGCTGAATGTAAAACTATGATATGCTCTATAAACTTTCATCCAATTCACAATAGACGGTTGGGGGGAGGGGGGTTACTTGTTCTTCCACCATCCCCACCTCTGTCTCAGCCAGTCCTTTAGATGCCACCTGGCTGGCGCATCTTTGAGAGCACACGTTAACAGACCCCCTGCCCACACTCGGCCACCATGGCTCCTGGCCTCGGGATGCGTTTTCCCTGAATCAGCATACTTCTATCCCGGGAAAAGCTGCCACGCTGAAGTACAGCGTCTCTGGATTCAGATGCTGCAGACCTAACTGCCTTCTCTGTCAGCCACGATTGCACGTGCGATCTGGAAAAATGAATTTTGCCTCTCCCAGCCTCATTTTTCTCACCTGTCAAGTGGAGAAAATAATACTTGCCCCTAACCATCCCCATCTACTACCACCCCCTGCTCCCCCACCCCCGCCCCGAGCTGAGGTGCTGCCAGGGTGAGTAAAGATTAAATACAGTGCTGAATATACAGCCGCGCCCATATTTAGCTCTCAAAAATCAGTGGTCTTCATGTTAGTCATTATTTCTACCTCAACAAGTGACTTGTAACTGCAAGGCATTTTTCAGGCTAGGTTAACTGGCTTTATAACTAGACACTCACAGTATGAAGCCAAACTAGGGACCCCATGATGTCAGAGTAGGGGCGTGCTCATTTTCAACGGCCTATCTTTTGGAAGTCGATCCCCAGGCCTTTCTTCTGAGGCACCTTCAAATCCCCAACCTTCAGTTAGCAGCTGAGAGCTTAACTGTTGATGCTACTCGGGGTCTCCTTCTTAGCAATGAAACTACAGTGCCAGCCTCACTGGCAGCAGGTTGGTTCTGACGCATAACAACCTTAGATAGGACAAGGTGTAACTGCCCCTGTGGGTTTCAGAGGCTGTAAATCTTCATGAGAGCAGAAAGCCTCATCTTTCTCCAACAGAGCAGCTGGTGGTTTTGAATTACAGATCTTGCAGTTAGCAGCCCAACACATGACGAACTATACCACTAGGGATCCTTTTCTCAGCAATAAAACAAAACTCACTGCAATCGAGTCAATGCTGACTCCTATGGACCTATCTATAGGACAGGGTAGAACTGCCCCTGTGAGTTTCTGAGACAGTGACCCCAGGCGACACAGAGGCAGACCATGGACCCATTTAGTGTGAGCCCTACTTTGCCAAACCAGATCCAGATGATGGTGATAACTCAAAACACAAACCTAATTAAAAGAATATGCTTATCCTTTGTTGGCAAGAAATGTTAAAATTCTTTGGAAACAAGTTCTTGCCAACTAGTATCCTATTTGAGAGGTCGTTCCCATTTTAAAAGCAGGGAAATTGAGGCACAGGGCTGCGTAATTTCTCCAAGGCCATATGGTCAGTGAGCAGTAGCACTGGAGGGCTTCGAATCCCAGGCAGACCACAGCTTCTCTCTCAGGCGAGAACAATGACAGTGATTTGTGGGGTGGGGGTGCTAAAAGGTTAAAAGGGGTTGAGGGGAGCTATATCACTTCTTGAAGCTTCTAGGATAACTGTTTTAGAACCATTCACCTTGAAGCTCAGGAGGTATGTAAAGTCTCTCTCTCTCTCTCTCT